AAGTTCTGATTTACAACATATAAGTTCTGATTTACAACATATAAGTTCTGATTTACAACATATAAGTTCTGATTTACAACATATAAGTTCTTATTTACAACATATAAGTTCTGATTTATAACATATAAGTTCTGATTTACAACATATAAGTTCTGATTTACAACATATAAGTTCTGATTTACAACATATAAGTTCTGATTTACAACATATCAGTTCTGATTTACAGCATAAAAGTTCTGATTTCAGTTATATAAATTTTATTCAGTTAAAGGTTTTCATATTTTTTCGAGCTCTTCAGTTCTTTTTTACTCTTTGATATCGGAAAAAATATTTATTTGTATGTTTTGGTTAAATTAAAAGGAGTCACTGGGTTGGATATAATCGTCATATGGACTTCTTATCTTATAGACAAGATGGATATAATCGTCATATGGACTTCTTATCTTATAGACAAGATGGATATAATCGTCATATGGACTTCTTATCTTATAGACAGGATGGATATAATCGACATATGGTCTTCTTATCTTATAGACAAGATGGATCAAAAAAGTTTAGGCTTTCTGACTATTATTACTAAACATATGAATCACAATAGGCTACAGTGATAACCATAAAACTGTAGAATAGGAAGACGACATTAAATCAAGACTGTTAGATGTTTGTTTCAAAGCAAATATCTTTACTAGCAAGTTATTAAAACAATTATTAAGTGAAATTGGTCTGTTTACACTGCGCAATAACTGTGCCTCAAGGTTATTGGACTAAGTCATACCTTAAGTCTAAAAGTCAACTTCCTATTCCAGAGTTTTCTGGTTAACACTGTATATATTCATCGACTTTTTAAACCCACCAAGAACTAAAAACAAGAAAATGTTTAGCGTTCAACAGACGTAATGTTAATTTCGGTATTTATTTAATACAAAAATTAAAAGTTTTCTATTTTCTTGTGACTACTTGTATTTTATAGAAAATATTTAATATTGAACACAAAACATCATTGAAGCTTCCTCTGCTGTTTACAACAGAGGATTTAGTAGCAGAATTTAGAAACATAATGGAATCAGTTTTCTTTCTCATCTTACAAAATGGAACGAAATATTTGATCAATATAATAATGAATGGAAAACATAATCAAACTCAAGTTATTCTCTGCCTCTGCATTCCTAGACTCCGGAGCTAACCCCAACCCGTCCCAGCTGTTCAGCGGTCAGATATATATTCAGCTTCTGAATACATAATTCTTTTGTAATTCCTACATTGATAATTCAGCTGAACCCCGGGATACTTCCCTCGGACAATCAGCTTTTATCCGTCGTTATTATTCCTGAAATTCCAGAAGTTGCTCTATTCTCCTCTACGAGATTCCAACCATTACAAGGACTGTGACACGGAGAATAATAAAGGTTGAGCAAAGATTAGTCTCCAGTAGCGGTGGTCCAGTGGAACGGTTGGATCCAGTATCTAGGACCCCCCGGATATCTTGACTAATGAGAGATCCTGCAAGGATCATGTAATCAGGGTCAGAACTCAATACCGGATTCGAAACAGTCAGGTTCGGTCTCTAATTACTTCTCAATTTGTAGGAATTAATCAGAACTGTTGGAGGGTATGGGAGGGTGTGTGGGAGGCTCTGCAACCAGCATCATCGATTGAAGGGGCGTGGTCAATTTCACCCTTGCCCCGCCCCCACCCTCCAGATATCTAAGTGCAGAGAAATCTAGATGAATCTCTGGCGTGAATCCCATAGAAAACCTAGGGTATAATTTTCCTGTGGTTACGGGTTGCTCTCATGAAATCATAAATCTTGAACCTGTTTCTCTCCTCCAACCCTTATCATCTTTTCTTCTTGAAAAACAAAAACAAAACTACAAAATTAATCGATAAAAACCAACAATTAAATCTAGAAAATATGTGAAAACGTTAATTTACGGATAATATTTCTCCGATATAATCCCTACACTGGGACGAGAATTAGGTTTTGAGTAAAGGTTTGGGATTACGAACCCTGGAGCAGGACGGACAAAAACTTCTCCGGGTTCCAGGATTCATTACTTCACGTGCTAAAAACAGTCTACTGAGAGGTGAGAGGTTCATCAAACCTTTCATTACTCCCAATTAATACAACCTAAACGGAGTCCTCAGGGTTCGACAGGTTTTTCTAACCATGCATCAGGAGTTTTTTTATTTCGACTTTGCCTGTATTTGTTCTCTGTAATTTCCAATAAGCATGATATTATTGAAAAAATATCAAAGGGGATGTAACTCTAACTTCAAGTGACCCTATATGCAAAGATGGCAATGCCCGATTCACGAAGGTACCCTTGAAACCTTAATCTGATTAATTATATGAAAGATACCACACAGAGTTTGTTTAAAAGGTTTCTGCATCAAAAGTAGAAGTACTCGAATTTATCATTGTTCTCCAATTAACAACAATTTTTTGCAGATTTTTCTATTTAAATAGGTGGATTTTCAAAAAACAAATACAATGAAGCTTTTAACATTGCAAATCTTGCATGTAGGCTCACTTAGAACTTTGTCTATACAGTTTACTTTGTTAGATTTGTTTTTGATCTGAGAAGAGAAGACAGCAGGATCTTGAGAGTTTAAGGTTCCTTGTCTCCTCCTCATCCTTGTGTCAGGGCGTGAGAAACCCTAGTTCTCAGCTCTCACACACCTCTCTCTACACACTCCACACCCAACCATAAACACTTGAAGATCTTCTCACTTCTCTCGTGCTCTCACCCGTCCTTACCCTCCACTGTCAGTCGTTTATAGATAATTCTTCAACCAAGGAACTGATTACTCGCTTCAAACTCTAATTTTCAAATCACTTTATCTTTGAAACCAGATAATTCAATAAAAAACTGCCTGATTTCAGCATGGAAAAAAAGGAGGCTCTATTTTCAACAGGAAAAATAGTCTAGGAAAAAAATCAACCGATCAATTAAGTCCAAACAGGGAGAAATAGCCATCTTCCTTATCCTACTGGCTAAATAATTTCTAGTAGAATAGTTTGTCTAATCTACAACGGTACTCTTAACAGCTTATTCTAATGATATCCATCATTTTCTACAGTGAATCCCAGATATATGAATACATAGCTAGCAAGAGTTTTTTATAATGTCGTATTACATATTTAAGATCAAATGCCGCGGAAAAATGAGTTTAATATTAATATATCAATTGCATTCATATTTTAGGGCTATTCATTTACCTTGAATTAAAAATAAAAAGAAGTCTCTTTTAGAATATACATTATACAAAACTCTTGCTATGTGTTCATATATCTGGGATTCACTGTATTAGAAAATTGATTATTTACAATTGTGCCTTAACTATGCAGTGACTTCAGAAACAATGGAAGAAAATGGTTAGAATTAAATACTAGAAATATGTTTCACAATATTTATAAGATGAGGGTTTAAAGGGTACCGTTGTGAACTTCTCAAAGGGAAATCACGACAGCCACTTTAAAACCATTCTTGTCTAAAGGATCTGAGTCTTTGCCAGAAATTCAAATATATCTTTGCGACATGATGGTGTAAACCTTTGATATTTTAAACTTACATTATTTGATCTTGCAGAATTCTATAAATTGAAACATCTCAGTT